TTTGATAAGTTGTGACCGAAAATTAATTATTTAACTACTTAATAAGATATATGTGACTTTGAAATCGGATCAGTTACCAGAATTAAGCGGCGGCCAACGGCCACAGAAAATAGTCATCTGAATTAAGCGCGGTCGGAGTGGTCGCTGGTTGCCGGAGTGGTCGCCAGAGCAGTGGAGGTGGTGGTGGTGGAGTGGGTCGGTAGGGGTGGGTCAATTATATAAATATTATATTTCATTAAATATTTAATTTAATAGATTAATTGTAAAATATAATTAATTAATTCATGGGAAAACCTGAGTTTTGTAAATTTAAACATTGAGACCTGATTTTTGATTTCGTGAAAGATAATCCCCGACCTATGAATTTTTCTCATTGTTTTTTGTACAGAAAATTATGAAAATTTGCCACGCCATCCTGTTAATTAAACTACTTTTAAAAAATTAAGAAATGAACTAAAATTACTAAACCAAATGAGAAGTCTTGCATTCAATACATGGAAAGGGACTTGTCATGTACAGCCATTACAAGGAAAAAATAACATTTTGCAACTAGCAGAATTTATTATCATATAACTTTTGCAACGTCCGACCATAATTGATTTAAAGAGATTATTACGCTCGTAAAAAATAAATATTTCAGGGCCTCATAATATTTGGTCACCTCGGGCCTCAAATTTTCAGGTCCTGCCTTGTAAGTATAAAAAGTCATTTACACATAAAAAAAATTACTTATAATACGAAATTCACTTGTAACCATAAAGTTTAACATATGAGTAAAAATCACTCGTAAGTAAAAAATTATAGATAAGATAAAAATACTACTTATAAGTAAAATTACTTTTTATAGGTAAAAACTCACTTATAAGTTAAGATTTCATTTAGAAGTAAAAAATAAAAATTTTCAGTTAAAAAATTCACTAATATATTTAAATAGTTTACTTATAAGTAAATATTTCACTTACGAGTTAAAAAATATTTCATATAAGAAATTATATTTTTAAAATTTCCTTATAAAAATATTATCATAAGTTATTTAGCTCAAGTTTGATGGCCATTATTTTGAAAAAAATGACGTTTTGAATAGCGATTGTTTGGAGAATGCGCGGTTAAATAGTAGGGAAAAATTTGGGTTTTTATGCAAAATATTTTATTATGTGAATGTATGATTGAAAACAATCATGTTACATGAACATTATGATTGACATCAAACTTGACATAATGCCACACAACATACTTTCATTTGACAGTTTAAAATACAGTCAGCTTTTTCACATAATCATCTACTACCACATCAATTTGTCAAGATTTCTATCAAATCCTTCTGGTAATGTAGCTTTATTCGATTGAAAATGGGCATGAGTTTTAATGAGAGATGAACATGGGCTTAATATTTCATCACTTGTATGGTCATCTAAAACGGTGAAGCACTAAATGCCATATTAGTGTAAGTGTTATGCCCTAGGTCCAATCAACTTTGGATATAAACACTTTGAATATATATATAATCAATGCATATGTATGTCAATATCTATTATT